TGATAGTTACGGAATATAGACAAAAGTACTAGCAAATTAATAAATAAGAGCCTTACCTTTAGAAAATATTGTTTGTTTAACGAATACACCAAAATATTTCTAAATAATCCACTTCCAAAAGTACGTAAATGAACCCGCTATCAAAAATGCGCGCCAATTGGTATAACGTCAGAAAGATACAAATATTGAAGTCAAATGTCATTATTTTAGTTAATTTTTGATAAGTCAATGGACAAAGGAATCACTGCCATTCAGCCAAATGTATCGATATCAAAACTGTTGTCGGGTATCCGCGCAAAAAGTTATTGATTCATTTTTGGGACTCTATGCATTTAAGGGTTAAATTATAATATGGAAGGAGTGGAACATTTGTACCGTGGGATATATTAATTTGCTATACGATTACGATGCCAAATTCCTGATTTACTCTGTAAGCTTATTAAATTCCCCAAAATCAGTATTTTTGAAGAAATTTCATACAACGATTACACAAATAGCTTTTGAACATTAAGGAACGAAATCAGGTAATGGATTATCAATTCGCATCATATTCATACACCGCAGTGTCAACGATGCTGGAAGCAGACAATTCAGCCGGATCACCGATCATTCACAGGGAAGCTGCAAAGGACAAGCTGCGACTGCCATCGGGGATCAATGAGGACCAGAAACTCGGCTCGTAGAAACCGTGGAAAATTCGTCGCCACTCGGCGCTGCTACGTTCGCCGACACTTTGCGAAGAAATGCAGGTAAATTTCTTGCATACATTTTCATGCGAAGTGCCGTGGAATCCTGCAGCAACGCCGAGTTTTCGAATTTCTCACAGTCCCTACGAGCTGATACTCTGGACCGTTCGCATTTTTGATGGCGATTGTAAAGCTTGTCCGCTCAGCTGTCCTATGGTTGGCGAACTGCCCATATTTCAAGAATTCTGACTCTCAGTTTCAAGGCTGCGTTTAAGTAATAAAGAATTAGTTACAATTCACATTTCACTGTCTCGTGTAGAATGAATATTTTCAGTGTCTCCCGCGTGAGATTGATTTTAAATTTGTTGCGAAAATTATTCTTTAGAGTCACTCCCGAAGTCTTGGAATGTTTTTCTATGCGTTTCTTTTAATACGGCCCCCTTTCACCGCAGAAGAATAAATAACACCGTGATATGCAGACTGAGGATTTTTGTGACAAAAATGAATGGTCGAGAAATAAGTCTGCGAAAGTTTACGATGTTCGAAAATGATTGTGAAATTGATTTATAAGAACACTTTTATTTTGCATAAAGCTCCTAAGTGAGGGAATTCCAATTATCGAAGGCGCGAAAGAAATCGTACGGCTTCGAGGTTAATCATGCCAGGTGTAATCAATCTTACGAGTAGCCGTAGGTTCCCGAGGTATTCGCGAGGATGTGGGTTCCGCGGATCACCGCGTTGTACCAATTAAAAAGCCTAAGAAGAGTGGCAATCGGAGAGATTAATACTAACGCTCGGGGATTACGGTCGAGTTTCAGTGTGTCCCAAGAGATTGGATCCCCCGATGTTTAGGGTGAATAGGATTGTTCGGGGGCGAAAGATCGTGGCGTAGATGATCGACGTAGCACGAAAGCGGTTTCTCGAGACTCGTAGAAAATCGTCGAATACCAGCCCCAGGGATATGACAGATATACCGAGCCCGAGAACTGGAAAATCTTGGGAGCTGGGATTTCGGGAAATCGAAAATGACAAATTCGATATGCATGGTTATTTCATTTTCGCGAATTTGCGCAAGGATTTGGCCCCCGGTTCTTTCATTTCACGGTCGGATATCCGGTTTAAACAGCTGAGGAATTGATTCCGTATCGGTGCAATCGGTTGCCCGACTTCGATTAATTAAATTCATCGCGGTCATCGGCGTTATGTTAAAATATATAATATCAATTCTGTATTTCATCGATATAGGTATTTCGTTCTTGTCGAGGCCGCGCCAACCGCAATCGACATCGCATGGAACTTCAGAAAACGAAGACACGGAACTTCACCGACGGTATTCCCCCGATATTTATTTCGATCTTCACGGAACTTTCTCACAATAAAAATTTCATTCGTTTTAAGTTGATGAAATGGTTCTCCTGCGGTCTGCTTTTATCGAGAAACTTCCGCGCCGGTAATATTTTCGGAATTGCTCGCCGATAGAGCGAACCTGCGAGCGAGGATTGGATTCGAGCAAAAAATAGATTTTTGAGGCGTATTCCTGGTGGCTGAAATTATCGATGGAGTGCCTCTGTGATGGATGATGAATGGAAGATAAATTTAAGCGATACGAAATTAAGCGATATTTCATCTGTTATCTTAATAATTTTAGTAGACCAGGGATATAACAAAGGAGGCATGTGAGCTTTTATAGAACTTTTAAAATACGAGAATATTGTTTACAGAACTTTACGATCTGCTGTATCGTGAATCCGAGAGCAGGCAAAGTATCAAAGTATTTATTTACTAAATCGAGAATTGAATCCGAAATTAATTATGTTTCATTTGTATTTAATTAAAATCAAACCGAAGACACGGACATTTGTAATTGTACAACGATGGAATCCGATGGATATGCACATGAAAGATTGGAATTCTACCACGCAACGCGACCGACGAAAATAATTAACGGATCACGCAGCTGCAGTATACATAATCACATTTGTTAAAAGTTACAAAGTCTAAAATTCGATAGAATTTAATTTCGTAAAAATGTGCCTTGTTCTATGCACAGCGTAAGAAAAATATTCTGCTCTATAATACACAGATGTTCCCGGGTTAAATCGCCAAACTTTACGTATAAATTCGGAACTCTAAAACAACCAAATTTTCCCTCTGGAAGTATACTCGCAAATGCTTCCTTCAACAGATATTTATTAGTTGGCAAGAAAGTAATTTCGGTTTGCACCAATCGATAACGTTATGTTTGCATTGTCTTTCTTTTGTTAAGGTTATAATTTTTTGTTGTCCGCAGCTAGTTGACACGTTTAGGTTACTATAGAAACAAATTCCGTGTAGTTTTGTCAATTTTAACATGGAGTGCAAAAATGAACATTTTCGACACATTTTACTTTTTTTATTTTCATAAAGGCAAGAAAGCGGCCAAGCATACATATGATATAGATATGTGAAATTTATGGCGTCGATTGCTTAACAGAACGCATGTGTCAGAATTGGTCTCAAAAAATTTTGTTCTGAAGATATTTTCACTTAAAGATAACCAACGTTCTGGTCGATCTTTTGAAGTTGATGATGACAAAATCAAAGCCAAAAGGATTAAATGTATCACACGCAACAACTGAACATCACAAAAGATGTCTTGAACTAGTTAAGAAGCTCGATGTTTGGATTCCGCATGAATTGAAAGAAATTCACTTAGCACGACGAATCAGTATTTGCGATATGCATTTTAAACATAATGCAGTCGACCCTTTTTTCAAACGAATTATCACTGGCGATGAAAAATGGATCGTTTACAATAACATTAATCGAAAAAGGTCATGGTCCAAGCGTGGTGAACCAACACAAACCATATCGAAAGCTGAATTGCATCAGAAAAAGATCATGCTGTCAATTTGGTGGGATTATAAAGGAGTTGTGTATTTTGAACTGCTTACGGTGTCGTAACATTAAAATCAATATGTTATTCGGAACAGCGGTTTTCAAACCGATTAGAGCCGAGACTAATCATCATTTCGTATAACAGGTAGAACTTAAGTTCAGCATGCATGGTAAGTGTAACCAATGGTATTGAAAATACAGACACAAGGGTAGGATAATTCATGGTTACCAGAAATGGTGACCAGTAAGATCCAGTGTTCGCAGAAAGCGGGTTAATCTAGTGGGGAGCAGTTTACAAGTGACACAAGGACATAATTGTATTTGACAGAGTTAGCAACCCTAAGTCTAGTCAGATTTGGCTGTTATATGGGGGAGGGGGTCACCTAAATCAATGTTGTCCCCTCACATGCTTCAAGCTCTGTCTACGTGCACTAACTAGGCAATCTGTGACAGAGAGCAATGACGGTGGTTGTAACGGATAGAAATACCAGATTTGTTCATTCGACAGAAGTGGAAATCCGTATTATTAATATTATTAATTGTTTTTAGGTCGGAATGTAAAAATTCACATCGATTTATACTTTTGTTAACGCTCTTGAAAGATCTCTGCATTGTAGGAGAGAGTGTGTCAGTTATTAATAGACTGCGGTTCATTATGCAAAATAAAAGTAATTGTAAGAAATATAAATCGAATCAAAATAAATTGTTCTTTTTGATAATGTTGCTAAATTGCAAACAACGTAGCAATATTATTAAATTTATCGTGTCTTTGCAATTTTATATTTCAACCATACATTTTTGCTATAAATGCATGAAATCAACAGTCTAGTCATAAGATTTTAGCTAATTTTTAACTTCCTAAGAATACATTGTTTCTAACGAAGGTATAAATACAAATGTATACAATTTACAAAAATATAATGAGAATAATTTCTGATATCAACTAAATTAACATATTATAGCACATTGTAGCAGTAGTCCTCGAGAAGAAATATTATTGAATGTTATCCTATTTTATTTCTGCTGAAATTGTTTGCCGAATGAATGTTCTTTAAAATCGCTGTAACGTGAAATGTTAATACCGTGTCTGATGTCAAGAGAAAAGGGAGATAATTTTGATGATTGAATTTACTCTTGTCGGAGGATGAGGCAGCAACAATTCTCGTGCATTCGATGCGGGACTAAAAATCCATTGGGACTCGCAGATAATTCGAAAGTGATCCGAAATCGCATGATCTGTAGCTGTGCCGGGTAATCAGCCGGAATTCGACCATTGAAGCGCGTTCCCCGCGAGCTTCCGACACTTGCCATACATGCGCGCACGCACGCACACCGCACAGTACGAGGGTAAATATTGCCCCTGAGCGCGTCAGTAAGAACGCGACGAAAACCACGGAGCAACCAGCACAAAGGAATTCTCATCATATTGTAAAATCCGAGGAATTTCTTCTCGAATGCTCAGTCCGCGTACACAACGCCGCGTCGGCGGAAAAACTAATTTGTTTAAAAGCCCGGTGATACTTTTGTTATACAGTTCTGTTAGCGACGTAAATTGGACAAATTTTTGCATCAATTTGATCGAAAGACTGAAATTTATTTCATGCCGATAAAAAGGAATTGCACGTTCTCGCAGAAAAATTTTGATTTGACGCGAACGTAATATCATAAAAATGCCATACATGAGAGATAAATGTGAGAAAGAAATTCTCCGGATATTGATGCGAGTGATTGTATATTATTTTCTAGAAAAAGGGATTTACGCGGAGCACAAAAAACAGCTGTTTTATTCGAAATTATTATTCGAAATATTATTATTCGAAAATAATAATAATTAATTATTATTAATTCGTTGCTTTTTACGTAGTCATAAATGATGTACATAAAGGTTTCAATCGTCGATTCTGCACTGGAAGAATGATATGTCAACGGAGGGTAATTCACGTTGCGAGACGAAGTGATTAGAGTCTCCGCTGTTGTTTTACTCGTGCTACCGGCGCATTATTATAGCGAGCGCTCGAGAATTAATTTCACTTTTTTTCTCAGATTAATGAAGCAGAGAGAAAAATGTAGGGTCGCCGGTTTTTTCCTCGTAAATGTGATCTATTAGGAAAAAAGTAGAGTGGTTCGTCTGACGCGAACCAGCTAATTGAGAAACTCTGAAGATGGGTGATATCGCGGTGGTAACGTCGGTAATATCCGCCTGGTTTATTAACATCCACCCTTCAGTATCCTCTGTCCATGAGTATATTAACCGGTACGATCCCACAATGAGGTTTACCAGCCTCCCGCGCTGGTGCATGTGTACGAGCACGATCTGCACGCTAACACGAGCATTCTGACGACCAGCGGATAGCTCAACGAACCCGAATGATTCAAGCTGACCCTTGAGATAACATGATTTTTTCCTCAACGACCATTACGTTTCTTTCATGCTCGCGTTTTTAAAACCACGGAATCTGAATCACCGGAATAGGAATATCAGCCTGGTGATTAAACGAGATAAAACGAGATTAAACTTCGATGCGCTATTCTGAAAAACAAAATCTACGTCTGCGCGACGTAGTAGTGGCCCACAGTAGTGTACTATAATAACCTTTTAAAATGCAATAATACTTTCAAAACTGAACTAAATGCCTTGAATTTGAATTTGAATCGATAGTGGGACTAGTATACTAGACGGTGGATAAAAAGCCATTTTTTTTTTAAATTTCGCTATTACTTGGAATGAAAAGAAGAAATTAAAAACTCTCGTTTTTTAACTTTTTTGTCTGAGCCTGTAACGAAAATTTAAACAATGCCTTTCGTAGATCTCGGTAACTTGTATGCGTGCTGAAAAGAGTCGAGTTACAGACGTTGAAAGATTTAAAAAACTACAGATTTCTTCAAAGACGTAATAAAACTGCGATTTCTGCGATCTTTAATTTGTTGTTACTCGTAACAACGTGAACCGATTTCGATACAATTTTCAACATACATAGTTACCGAGATCTACGAAATTTTTTAAATTATCGGTATAGGCTCCGATAAAAAAGTTAAAAACGAGGGATTTTTATTTTTTTGTCATTTCAAGCACTGGCAAAATTGAAAAAAAAGCATTTCAGTCATCGTCCAGTAAACTAATCCCTCTATCATCTAAAAGTCATTTAGATCAATTTTAAAGTAGTTATTGCGTTTTAAAGGGTGTACGAACCTTCAATTTAAAATTTAAATTGAAGTATAAAATGAAAAATTTCAATTTAAAATTTCAAAAGCCTTTGGAAATGTATTGAAAAGTAGAATTACAGGCAGGAGAATATTATTGTAAAAAGTGGTGAATGCATCAGAGATTAAAAGTGCCGAATTTTCCAAATATAGGACATTCGTTAGCAGATTTAGCGGATCTTTATTCATTTATGATATATTTAAAAAAAAATGGTAGTATTAAATGGTAAAATAATATGCGAAAGAACGTTCATATTAACAAACACTAACTAACCATATTATTGTTTTATAATTGATACATCAAATTTTCTAGTCAATA